GCCTTTATTATAAGTGAAAGTTCCGGTGTGTTTGTTCATAGCTGCGATCTGTGTAGGTACTGTGATCCAGGTCAAATTATATTTGTAATTTGGAAGCGAGGAGTGGATCCTGCAACTCAGAGGCATACCGCTGCTCAACCTTCACCGTTTTATAACTTAGTATACACTTCAGGAAGCGGGATTGCGCGTCAGACTTATTTTTCTCAATATCTGTTGGTAAGCGCAGGTCAGGCTGGACTGCCTTGATCTTGCTGTCATGCTAGCGTCCGATAAGACCTCACTTAAACTAGGTTCGGGCAAGGCTGTCCCACTGGTATTACCAAACGTGGCGTCAAAGGGTATCCGGCAGTGGTCTCTCTTATATCTGCTCGTCAAACAGAACAACAGCTTAACGCTGTAAAGCAATGCTTTCGGGCATGTAACATAATTGCTTCCGCATCCTGCGTTTGTCTCAAACGATGTAAAACTGCCCAGACATTTCTATTTGATCTATAATTTTTATCTTGGAAGCTGCTGCTGCTACTGCTACTACTAATTGCAGGCCTTTCATAGTTTTCGTTGTCACTGTCCACTATTCGAGTTTGCTGACAGTGGAAACTAGGAAGCATTTTTTTCTTAGGCAAGAGATGACCTGATTACGCTCTTCTCCCCACTGGACCTCTAGGCTACGGCATTAGTTCCGTCAAGGTGCCTTCAAATTCACCAGGGGCCTTGCGTGAAATGCATGGGGGGGGAAAGAATGAGGCGAGCGTACGGGAGTAAACAGAGCCAGCAGACCGTTGAACGTTCATGTGTGTTTTGATTTACAAGTTTGCAGGCTCAATTTTTCAGTTTAGAGCACCGCAATCCTCCACTCCTTTCTGTGAAATTTTCCTTTAATCCAACGCCCTAGGTAGATTTCTGGCCTGCCCCACTATACTGTACGAAGACGTCTCACACATTCTATTGAAAAAGCTGGTGAAGTAAAAATAAGTTTGTGAATTATGTCATGTAATGCAGAAAATGTTGACACAGGCGCCTGTCTCAAAGTGATTCTCAGTGGTCCGCTGTCACCGTTATTCGCAATTATTTCAGATTTCCGGTTTGCAGTGCTCCTTTTGCGTATAGAGACTAACCTCGTGATATGGCAGTTTGACCATCAGTTCGAACTATGTCCACCGTTTGCTCAATAATTTGTGGTGCACGGATGGGGATTAGATTATTTGTGTTGCTTCTGTCGCACTCCTTCTCCCCTCACCCACCCGAGCCCGGTGACAAGGCAGGGCCAATAAGACCGGAAGCGGAATCGGGCGCAGTTAGAGCCGGCCACCTTGACTCGAATCCCACGGAGTTAGAGTGTCGTAAAGACCATGAATGGTTACTGCCTGAGCCTGTACTTACGCGTGCCGCCAACGTTCGGCAAATGATGTGGGAGCGGAGCTCGTGTAACCTCTGCTATGCCCTGATCTGACCCTCGTGTTGGTCCAGCGTATCTACCACGCTGCCCCATTTAGGGGACACAACGTCATGAGATAAATATCTTGTTTTCCAAACAGGGTCGTGAGCGTGAACTTCTTCCGCTTACCAACCAATACTTAGTCTAGCAAAGCCTGACTCAACAAAACTGCGATAGTCAACAGCAGTAGCGTGCACTTTCCAGAAATAAGCCCTTGTAGCAACAATGTTTCACCCCAAGCAAATACTTGCTGCGATTGCGGGACTTAAAGGAATCTGTGAAACTTACACGAACCTGGGTTGCCTTATGAGACTTCCGTTGCGTAGAAATCCTGTTAAGCACTCACTAGGAAATATGTTTGCTCTTGTAACTTTGATCGTGCATTTAATGTTCCAGATTCAACACTCGGCTCAAAACAGTATGAAGATTAAGAAGAAGAAGAAGCGAAAACAGGATTTCCGGAATGCCAACATTGGGAACACGGCCCCATCCGGCGAGGGTGGAAGAGGGTGGGCGGGCTCCCAAACCGTGATACCTCCTGACGGTCTCGCATCAAAGTCATCTGAAAGTGGTGCGTGTTCGTGTAATTTTAAGTAAAACTTTGAATCGAAATTCAAATCAAAGTGGCTTCCTTAAAAATGATTTCTGCACCCGTCGGGGTTTACAGAAACCGAAAGGATAACTAAAGACCTGCATTCCTAGAACCACAGCATATGTTTTACACTAAACGTCAGCGCTTTCGATATACTGAACACATTTTGAAGTCCTATCCCTTCACACAGAAAAAATATTAATGTGGATTAAATGGAAAAAAATAATTAGTACCCTGATTCGTATCCCTCCTCTCTGTCACTCACTTAGATTTTAAAAAATAGTTGTTGTTACCAACAGACCGCTGATCAAATTCGACCCGAAAAAGGACTAAAATATCAGTTGGACAATATGTTTGCGGCTCATTCCATGCATCTTGTGCTGTTCGCGTCTGACTACAACCAGTGACCCATTTAAACTGCGTTTTGGATGGGGGAGGATTACTTTAATGTCATTGTAACGTGGGTTGTTGTGCGACATAATCCGATGATATTTCAGACACATCGAATATTGGCCTTTGAGAGCACTCCTTTTTGACCGCCTGGATAAAAATACTACTAAAATAGTAGGAGATGTTTGTTTTTATTTTCGATGCACTCACAAATTCAAATATTTATTGCAAAAAATTGCGCAATATATTCCGTCTTGATAGAAAGTAAATCACTCATTCTGTAAATTTTCTGCTTAAAAAGAGTATATTTCCGTTTTTAAAATCGTTTTTCAATTATCAAATCGAGTCCTATCTGCGTATGCATTTGCGTTTAGGGTTTATAGTGTACAAGCCGCATACTTAACGTGCTATGAAAATCGCACATTCCTTTACGCCAGCAAACCATTTGTAATGTATGTGGGTTACATTGTATACTTTATAGAGGCCAGTAATGAACGCACAGGCAAGACACTGCATTGTTTTAAACAGCCCCTGAATAGCAACTTTTTTTAAAACCGAAGCATAACTTCTCTTCAAGAGTAAATGTTAAGGAAGATTCGCTTCCATGTTAGTGTAATAAAGAATATTTTTGTGTACATTCTCTATGAAATATATTTGAATTTGCAAGGCCATCAAAAGCCGAAACAAAAGTAGATACTGACTAGGCAGCCATTTTTACCAAGTGCAGTTTTTGCATCTGACCTAAAAGAAGTGCACTTAAAAGTCAACGTCCTGATGTGTCTCAAACCTAATGGGATTATGCCGCACGATAATTGCTATTAAAATTACATTAAAGTGATTCATAATATCTTTAAAAAACCTTTTTAACAAAATTGTGTGTTTTGGACCTCTGTTGCAATTCCATTTTAAAATACCTCTGCAAAAACATCTTACCACTTGTGGCCGACACATAGTCAACCATCCTACGAGTTGTAGGTTATTTGTGCGTTCGTACAAATTTCTGATGGCAAGACAGGAGCTTGCCTGTTTCCAGCTTTTTTAGGGAGAGTATACTGCACAGCTTTACAAATTAGGGTCTAAAAGGAAGACTTAACTTCATGCTTCTATTAAAATAGGGGTTTTGTCTTACCTCATCTGGTTTATACGAAATAGAAACTAAATTGATAAACTGCTAAAGGTTTGTTCTTATAAGTCTTTCTCGTTTATGTAAACGCCTTCTATCACAGGAACGCAAAAATACACAGATGCGGTCCATGGAAGGTGTTAGCAGTGGAAATCGAATTAATATGAAATATCCACTATGTACTGTTTTCTACGCAAAAACATCGAAATATATCCTTTTTGAGTGATTGCCTTTCTATCATACGCGACATGCCACCAAGTAGAACGAAAGACTGAAGTTTCAAGTTCCACGTTTATGTATAAGTAAAGAAGAAGGCTGGTCGAGTACTGGTGCATAGTAAAGCGTATAACATCCGAAATAACCCTAGTAGATCATCCGGATTTCAGTCTTCATGATTTATCAGTTTGGTTAGCCACGGGTTGATAATTTCAAGTCATATTTTGCAGACGGGGGCTGCTCTTCTTCATGACAGGGACGTATTTTATTCCCACTCCACCCTCTCTCCTCGGCTCATGATTCTTTCGGGCAGGCGGGGACACTTTGTGCTAGCCGGCTTATTCTATCAGGAGTATAAAAAAGAACATGACTTGACCACCTGGACTGTATGTTTACTTGACCACATGTCCACCATTTTACCCAACGCAGGCTGGTTAGCCCACGTAGATGTCTGTATTGTCCCTCTGGTCATACCGCACGCCCCCCTTTCTTCTTCCAGGGGTAGTGATTCTCCGGCTAAACACAGTCTTCTAGGGCGCGGCATCGAGGCGGTTCGTCTTCCTGGTTAGCGGCCAGATTCACAGTCTTCTCGTCATCATCCTTTCTACTCCCCTTTTTATCGCTTGACTTCAGCCTCTTCCGTCTTGTATTTGCCGGTTTTTTTTACTCACGGATGTGAACTGAGTCCGATATTTCGTCATCAGGTGATCCGCTATGTTTGGCAACGTGACGTCATTTTCGGTGATTTTTTCCATTTTTCTCTCATAATAATCCCACTGTGTATTAAGTCGA